TGGTGATGACAAGATGATCAGTATACATGTACAGAGGTGGGCAAGTACCGTACGTGTACATGTACGTTTGCCTTTGTTCAAAGAATCAGACAAAAAAGTAAACGAAGTATTGAACTGAGAAACAGGAAGTGGCTTTCCGCAGTTTCCAGATCACTTTATAGACGGTCTTTGGCCGAGCGGAATTAATTCGCAGTTACATATCGGCACAGGTGTTTTCTGAGCAATCAATACCACCGGTCGCCCCATACAATAGCAAAGTCCTGATGTTGTGACAGCGAGCGGTATTCATACGTGCTTTTTTTGTGATCGTCTGTGTTGGTTCTGGTCAGGCTACTCAAATAGAGACCTCATTACCGATGGGAAATGGGCTTAGCACTGGAATGGATTGCCGCAGCCTTGGCTTAGACTGAAGTGGAGACTTTGGTTGAGAAATAAAGCATTGGTGTACCCATATCAAACATGTTTTTATACCAAAAAAAAAAAAGAGAGTCACAAAAGGGCTGTAGAGGAGCTTTCCTACCCAATGAATTGTTGGAGAAAGACTTAGTATTCAGTCTACATGTACCGGTAGCTGACATCAGGTACCGGTACCAGCCTTTTCAATTTGTCCTGGTTGAAACTTCCAGACATTGGCTCAAAACTCAAAGGAGACTTCTCACTCAGTTAAGATCAGGGAGACAGGGTACATATAGGTTGGAATCCGGTCAGAGGTGAGAAAACCTCTAGGCCCACACCCTGTCTGTGTATAATTGTGCATCGCACAATCTCATGTATTTTTACACAAGTCATGTACGTGTACATGTACAGTGTTCATGTAAATGTACATGTATGCACATGTGTTACTGCACATGTGTGTACATAGGATACAGTAGCTACCATAGGTCTACAATTTGGCTTACATGTACATGTATGTCAACTCTTGTCAGTTTTCTTGTCTTATTTTGGGGGGGGGGCTGCTTCAGATTGGAAAGCATACTAAAATTGGTCAGCACTGTCAAGTAGAACTTGATTCCCTTTGTCACCAACATTGTTATTTCCGGAATAAAATGCTTGGCAATTGAATGACCTGTGATTTATGAAATTAGAGCCTGGCACCGTACGTACCGTACGTACCGTACGTGTGGTTTTTGAACATCAGTGGCAGTGTGTATTGTGTGTACGCAAGGTCCCACTCCGTAACGCAACCTGTCACTAACACTCATATCCTCATGCCGCAAAAAAACACCTGTTTCTTTTTAGTTACATGTACTGCAGTAATTGGCTGCCTTGGAACAATACAGTCATGGCGGCTCAGGTGGCCTTGCCCTTATTAAACACTTGAACTTTCAATCACTTCTTTAAATGTGCACTTTCAACAAGGGCACCAAATTCCCAGATTATTGTGTCTTTTTGGCAAATTGGCAAGAAGTTTGTGTAATACTGTATGGTACTTGTACTGCCATAGTTCTTGTGCTCATTGTGGTAAATATACAGTGATACACATGAACAGTGATAAGGGTATTTGGGGTCCATTTTTTTTCCATGTCCCTGTCACATCTGACGTATGATTTTGTAAATTCGGAACACATTTTCTAATTGCAAAGATTGATGAATTAATGCAAATTACCTGCCAAACAAATAGTAATATTTTCAAATCAATTCTGGTGATATTTCCATGTCAAAGGACAAAGGTCAGATGTAACAGGGACACAACAAAGGCACACTTTTGGACCCCCTAATTTCTGGAATAAACATACATACAAGTACCGGTACATATGAACATACTGTAAGTAGGTTTCTTTTTTTCTCCAATGAATTAACACGCCCCAGGATCAGAGTCCAACGCCGCACATGTTGATCTTATGATCCTTCTTGTGACAACCAAATCCACCTGACTTTCCCCAGCACTGTTACTCCTACATGCAGAGAATGCACACATGTACATGTACAGTACGTATGTACAGCACATGTACTTGTACACTCATGTACATGTACATTGGACTGTTTGTTTTACTGGTAGCTTACTGGTGGTTCTTGGTTTACAGTTGTGAAACCTAAATTGAAAATGGATTCTCCCTGGAAAGGTCTAAAAGTTAATGGAAGTTGCTCTCAGAAATTGTATCTCAGTGTCAATTGCAGATGTAGATCGCTTCTTGCACCGGTTCTTGGCCCGGAAATACATGTAAAACTACATGTCCAACCAGGACAAAGTTGAATTTACTCCAGACGTACTAGTGCTTAAAAAACCCTCCTTTGGTTTTACAGCACACATGCAAGGTCACTCCCTTGCATGTTGGTGCAGTGCACAACATGACACAGCTGTGCTTCTTTGAGGTGTTCACCAAGTGACCCAAAGAGTGACTTCAGCATAGGAGGGTTAAATTTTAGGTACATGTACACAAATATACATGTACATAGACGTACATGTACATTGTATTGGTACATGTACATGCGTGGTTCATATTACATGTACATGTATAGAGCATCCAGCGGTGTTGATGTACAAAATGGCCGTCTTGAAAATTCTAAGGTGTACACAATCAGCACACATGTATGAACTACATGTACATTCACCCTGCTACAGTTTCCTCATGGAGCATTGCTCTGCAGACTTGGCACGAACTTGTACCGATTGCAGCTTCTACATTTTTGCCCAGTGTTCAAGTTTGATGTACACATTCAGTGAATCTAATACCCTGCCCTCTAATGGGCGGTGTTGGGTGTCATTTCTTCACATCCTGTGCTCTGTAGGGACAGGACATTTGCGGCTAGACAGTAGACAGACATCAGGGAGCAGGCAGTGACTTGCAGTTAGTCTGGCAGAAATCATTCTAGTTTCAAGAATCGAAAGGTTTCCACCCATTTTTGTTTCATATGTAGAGTACATGTACATGTATGATAGCAGTATCTTGTTGAACTTTTATTCCTGAATAAATTAAACAGAAACCCTGAAGATTTTTCAGTAGATCTGCATGCATTTCAGAGGTCAGATGTTTCTACCGGTACATGTGCACAACTTACATGTACCGCTACCGTAAGAACTGGTTTTGAGCATTAGCGTGTATAGTGATGGCGTGGTTTGCAATATTTTGAAGATCTTTTCAATTACAGTGTAATTGGGATTGTCAGACATTGGGGCGAGTTCTGGATTTTTCCCCCATGAAGTTAAGATAAACGTTAGTTACTTCGAAACTTGCGCAAATTTTGGTAAAATAATCACTACAAATGACTCAAAAGTAACATTTTACACAGTAGAATAGTACATAGATAATTTTTCTGGAAGTTCATTTATTATGATTCGCAGGGAAAGAGACAAATCTCCCCAGAGACCCAAACGACAGTGCCTTTCCAATGAAGAAAGCTTACCCCAGTAATAAGCACCCAGTCTGTGAGAATAGAAAACTTGTTAATTTGCTGAACATACGTGTACTAGTTACTTCTTGTACATACTGTGTCATAATTGCCTACAGCTGTCACACGTGTACTTTGCATGTACCTGTTGGTGACAAGTCTAGTTTGAGAACACATGCAGTTCAGTAATTTTTTTTGTGGCCAACCCAGACTCTGTCACTTTTCCTCCTTTTGTAGCAAGGCACAGCCTGTGGGTTGGACCCAGCACCGCATCGCCCGTCATCGCTACCAGTCATGTGTTCATGAATGACTTCCTGGCCTTTTTAAAATAGTCTGGCACTGCACCCTGTCATCCCCCCCCTGACTGACCTACATTTGTATTAAATTAAAGTTGTCTAAAAATAGTCCGTGATTTGCCGGCATTCGGGATGTCTCAGAAGACTTGCAAGGTATAAGTGCAGTCTTTCCACTGTCTTTCTGGGGGGTCATTGTATCGCTGTGCCATTAAGTTTCAAAATGTTGCCATTTTTTTCCCAGAGAATATGCCTCGGGTAAAACAGTTGTGATATTGTTTTGAACTTTAACTGCAGCAACTTGTAAGATTTTTATAAAGGTCCAGAGGGACAAGTTGGGAAGGAAAAAATTGCCCTGGGATTGAGAAAGTCCTCGCACCACATTCCACTGATGTGTCTCTCTGTGAAGTGGGTTTTGTATTTAGTAATACATATGTAATTATTATTGCAGTCTAAAAGAACAGTGAACATATAGAGTGTATTCTTCAATTTTTCTTAAGCTGGCAAGTGTCCCGAGCAGTTTGTACCGGTGCATGTACTTTGTAAAAGACTTGAATGGAAAGATTAAAAGTGTTTTGAATTGGATTGCGAAAGTGAGACGGAAGCCTCGAAAATTCCTTCACATAATAAAACAGTTAGAACCTTAAGCAGCTCTCATCTACCGGTACAGTGTCCCATTTTCATCAGGCAGCGTAATTGATGGATACATTACATCATCATTAAAACAAAGAGCTGCAGTTTGCATTTTCAAGTTAATTAAAACTCAAAATTGGCTGACATTGACACTTATGTCTCATAGAAGGCCACATACTGGTACATGTACATGTGTATGTGACCTGCTCTGCAAACGTGAATATTGAGTTACCAGAGCCACTTTTGAGTTTCACTTTACCTTCGACTGAGGAATTTGAGTTCTTTCTGTTGAGGTGTCACTCAGTTTCGTTTGATGAGAAAGGATGTTGTGTAGACGTTTAATGTTGAGGATTCCTATTGCTGAAACACTGTGCAAGATTCTTTCGAAGGCATTTTACTCAAAAGTGGCTCTGGCGACATGTGACTCATTTTGGTTTAGTGGGTCACGTATATTTGTTTGAAGTGGAGCAATGTTCATGTACATGTACTGTTACATATTCTCTTGCAGCATACATGTAGATGGAAGGCTGTATTATGTGGAAGTTGTGGCTATGGCTAAAGATTATAGAAACTTCTAGGTACAGCTGTAGCTGCTGCAGTTTTTGTACTTAACAAAGACACATATAAAGTCCTAGCCTTAGCCAGTTAATTCAGACATCAACCTTTGACTTGGTGTGTTGACCTTTTGACCTTCAGCTTGCCTAATTTTTTTTGTTTTCCTTGTCTCTGTCCGGTCTGTTCCAGAAGACACAACCAACACGAAGCCGTACTTTACCGAGAGGATCTACCATGGTGAGGTCAACAAGACCAGCGGCCAAGTCAGCATCCACCCCCAGCTGATAGCTCGGGATGATGACGCGGGGCCAAACGGCGAGATCGTGGAGTATCGCCTGGACCCGGAAGCGGACGTGCCATTCACTGTCTCACTGGGCGGGCAGGGACAAGCGGTCCTGAGGGCGGTGGACCCACAGTCGTTGGACTGCGAGAGGAGCCAGGCGGGCTGGCAGTTCAGCGTCCAAGCCCTGGATGGCGGAAGGCCACAGAAAACGTCACATAGGTCAGACATTGACCTCAGCATGCCTGACCCAGCATTCTAAAACCATGTAGCTCTTATCTGGGGAATGACACCAGTACACATCGGAACAGTGCTTATTTCTGAAATTTCAGAACTGCCTGTGACCACGAAAGCTTTCTGCAGACCAGATTTGTCCTAAAGTTCACTTTTAAGGATGAAAACTAATGGCAGGGGAAAGGAACTGTCAAACATTAAAATTATCCACTTGAGCTTGGTTTCGGTACGGTGGGTCACAACTTATATTTTAACCTGCTGTATATTACAATGCACATGTACCGGTAGATTCCGGGAAGAACCCAACATGTACATGTACATCTTAACTTTCACCTGGACACAATCCATTTCTTTTCATCTTGTGAGTTTTTGTTTGCAAAATAGGCTGCATAACATGATATTATGGAAACTATTATTGTGTCTTGGTTGAACTTAAGATATAAATAAAGTATGACATTTAATTGGAAAGTTTTCAGTACTAAGGGTATTCTTTATAGGTTCTCAGGACTGCATACATGTACATGTATTTACATGTACATGTATTTACATGTACATTGTACATGGTGTGTGTATGGTTACATCCTTGGAAGTTGAATCTTACACTGTATGATTGAAGTTTGAGTCTCATGTTCCCTTTTAATGGAAATTTGTCTTAGGACTGAAGTCCACATTGTCATCAATGACAGCAATGACAGCCCGCCGCACTTTGTCAAGAGCAGCTACTCAGGCATGGTGTTGGAGGGCATTGCGGAAGAGAACGTCGTGACTGTGGAGGCCAGGGACAGCGACTGCTCGGCAGCGTTCTCCACGATATGCCAGTACGAGATCAGCACCAGGGACGGATCCACAGTGCCCTTTGCTGTCGGCTTTGACGGTAAGTTGTAGTGCGGCGATAGTGGTTGCTTGTCTTTGGGCTGCGTCTGCAGCTACGCAGAGCATTCTGTGATGTAAATCACTGAGGGAAAGAGATTTTACCCTCAAAATCAGAAGGTCCTTTGGATCAACATGGAGAGAGCCTTTTTTTTTTTCTAGTCTGAGTGGGTTTAAGCCCCCATCCTGTTCTCCCCCCCCGGCACCCCTTCCCTCAATTTCCTGCAAAGTCTCCCGGTAAACACGATCCCTGAACAGTCAAAAAGCCCTGTGCAATTTAATATGGTAACAGTTGGAAAGGAGTCCACATGAGCTGGTTCACGAAGTCCAAGTCTGTGTGCTGATGTCCTTCCCCGCCCAGGCACCGGGGTGGTCCGCCAAGTGCTGTGACAATATCAACAAAATAACCTCAAACTAATGATCCGTTCCTCCATCGAATGCACGTACATGTACACGCTGATAACTGCCACGTCCCATCCCGTTCTTGCCCGGCAACGCTCGCCGGTTAAGGGAAGATGTACCTCTTAACACGTCGCTCGTCTCCCCCTCTGAAGACAAACCGCCAGAGCTCAGCCGGATTTATTATCATATCTCTCTCAATCAGCGATGCCTTTCGTGCGGTTCCCTCTGTTTTGTTCTCTCTGTTTTTGTCATTTGCAATGGCGCGAGCGGCCGGCACGTCAGGCGCACAGCCCACGCCGCACTATCACATTAGGGCTAGGCAATCGTATTAGTTCATAGGGCTTAAGCTTTATTAGAGCCAGTCTTGTGTGAAAGGGTGAGGGCATGAATTGATGTGAAAAAAAAAAAAGGCACAAGGCAGTCAGGCGCACAGAATTTGCCAGAGGTGCATGAATGTAGCGATCACCCCCCCTGCCCACCCTCCTTCCTTAGCAATCACCCGGGAAGGAGAGAAAAACAAAAAAAGAGGGTCATCCATAAAATTGCCAAGGACAAGGGCTGTGTTGCACAAATGTTTCCTTGTGGCGGCGTTGGGCGGGGGCTCCTTCGTTGATCAATTATGCGTTCTGCCCTGAAGTTTTTTGTTGTTTTTTTTGAGTGTGTGCTCCTGCATTTTGTTTTCTTCGTACGTTGGCATATTTCGCCGCTTGAATTTCAGCAGGAAATGCTTCGGGGCTCTCATTGATATGAGGGTTGAAATTCTTTGCATGTATAATTGGAATTAGGACAGGTTGACTTTGTAGTCAGAAACATGCGTGTACGTGGAGTGTACGTTGTACGCCACATTGTACATGTACGGTAAGATTGCACACTTGGATGGATTTTTTTTTCCCATCACTTCTTAATACAAAGGTAATGCAATAATCAAATACGGACTGGGGAGACGGGGTACCAGGAAGAAGCCTTAAAGCTTACACAAAGCCTGGTCCCATTTGTATTAATATGGGGTACCATTACTGGTACATCCAAAATTTTACCACCTATCGTGACCTATAGAGTAGGTCATTTTCTCTGTAAAAATAACACACACCTCTGTGTTCAGCCTTGCAAGATGCGTAACGATGTCAGTTTGGAATCCACGTGCAGGGAAATAGCTGTTCATTTTTACAGAAACCCATGTAACAATTGACACCGTTACAAATTGTGGCCCAACCTCAGGGAATGACCCATCAGGGCAGGTACCGTCATGTATTCCTACACGTACCGCAATACCAGTACATGGATACAGAATACATCATCTTCATTAAAATTTGATGTGCTTCAAGTACCGTACACGTACATGAAGCCTAGAGCTGGTAGTGATGCATTAGAATGAAGTCTGGAATTCAGCCGTTTCACAATAGTGCACCACCAAGTGTTTGCAACACGTTGGCCAATCACAGTGTGCAAAATTTGTCAACCCAATGCGCGTTTGGAAAGGGTCGAGAAATTTCACGCGTTGTGATTGGCCAATGCGTTGCAAACTCTTGGTGGCGCACTCTTGTGAATCGCCCGTATTCAGTACTGCATAGATGAACATGCATGAGAACATGCAATTGTGTGCTGTGAGGTCACGTACATATACCCCAGTAGCTGTACAGTTATTTTACGATACATTTAGTTTCTTCATTTCTGTATAGTTACTAGCACAGTTAATCAGGGAAGGTGAGGAACTCAAAATTTCTGCGTATATGGGTCATTCCATGAAGTTTGGGCACAGTTTGTGACGGCGTCCCTTGTTACATCGGTAACTTTTATTGCCCTTTATTTTCACATTACAACAGATTACATGTACATGTAAATCATATTATTCAGCAAAGATGATGCACACCACTACAAGAACCTAGCAAGATTTAGAACAAGGTCAATTTAGAATCCACGTGCAGGGAAAAAAGATGTTTATTTTCACCGATGTAACAAGGGACGCCGTCACAAACTGTAAGAACATACTGGTATTGCCAATCCATGAGCCAACTAAAATTAAAAAGGATGAGAAGTACATCTACATGCACCGTACGGTACATGGACATGGACATGCTTATGAACAGAAGTACATGTGTGTACACCTTTGCTCCTGTCTGGAGTTGCTGTGTAACTTGGTTTTCAAATTATGGTGAAGGAAATTGGATGCCTTGATTGCTTGCGCTTACTTGATGTGCCAACGTTGTTGCTCACGTTTGTTGCACTTACCGATATTCTGTGTTTCCTCACCAAATATGAAAGTACAATATACATGTATGTGTGACGGATTTTGCTCTCTGAGAATTTGGTACTTCGTTGACATTGCTTTGAGAGAAACCTCCCGAGTATAAAATTGTTTTTTTTGATGGCACATTCAAAGTGTGGTGACGGAAATTGCAACTGTCCAAACCCCCACTCGACCGGTGTTGACACAGCCAACAGCACAACAGCATGTCAATAAAAAACTGTCACGGCCTTATAACTACATGTAGAAGAGCTTTCAGCTCATGTTGTCATTCCCACGGATGACGAACATGGTACATTGTACGCTGCACACTTAAGGTGGACCCTGCGCAGCTTACATTAGAGCCGTCTGTGCACCGGCAGTACTTGTCATGTAGCCATCTTGTTTTAGAAAGCCCCCTGCTTAGTGCTTACACCACGACCTCCCCACTTATGTGTACGTTCATTTCTTGAAATGCGCTGGCACGGCTGCACTTTACGAAAGGATTGTGGGGCTTCAGATCAAGAAACCCCCCTGTACAAATTCCAGCCAGTAGCCCTCTGAAACAAGAGCCCGGGGTAAAAGTAGAAGCAATTGAAGCCGTCCAGCGGGCACCGGCCAGACAGGAATGTTTTTCCTCGGCGAGGAGGAGTTGGTTAAGAGTCTGCGGACGAGGAGGGAATCTGCACGCCGAGAGGAAAAAATGTTAGAACTGGCTTGGGCTAAAGACAAAACCCTGAAGTGAAATTTTCAAAAGAAATGTACCAAGAACTGTGGAATGAAACCGAGAAAATTGCTTATTTCATCTGCCGTCTGTGTATAGTGATGGAGTCTATTAAAGCAAGTCGCTTTTCATTTGATGAGTGCCAGATTTTGCAGCGTATGATTTGGTGTACATGTAGGTGTACTTCTACTGTCAGGTTCGCTTATAAAGATGTCCAAGATTATTAAAGATATGTGTCCACTGTACAAAGATGGTACTTTCCATATTTTTGCTCAGGGTGAAGTCTCTTTTGTGCTTCTCCACCATGGTCATTTGAGCTGAGAGCGCAAGATTATTTGCACCATCGCATTGTTTGGCATCGTGGTAAGCAATGACTTATGTCCCGGGAACCCGGCCTGTCAGTGAGCTCAATAGAGCCGTTCACGGAATGCGCAACAGCGGACAAAAGGGTGAGACAAGAAAGCGGGGTTTTCTGGAGTACAGCGACCATCCGTTACACGCCACGACCCGAGAAATCTCTACCTATCCCCTGGTCTTAATGATGACGTGTAAACTGATACATGCGACACTCAACGGCAAGCTCGGCAGCTCAGGAGGAGCAAACAGCGAGGGGCGATGAGCGGATAGGAGATAGGTTCCCTCCAACACCCCCTCCCCCCGTTCTATTTACAGCAGCCATCCTGTTTCGCAGTGTCGCGTTTCATAATACCAGATCATTCTTAATTAACCATGTTTTTAGTTTTCTTTGAAGGGAGCCAGTTGAATGGGGTCACTGGGGACTTTCTTTTTTTTGGGAGATTAATGTAGTTGCTTTTACAAGATTGCCTCTTCATACTCTGCCAGGACAAGGCCAGTGCCAATGGATGTTTACTCCACGAGCCGGTGTTATTTCTAGCAACTGCACTTGTTTGTTGGTGAAGTATTTTAAGTAAGGTTCACAAAAACAGATACATGTAAAAGCTACAGGTAGGGCATGCATGTCGTCAGTCAAGGCCGCCATTGAAAGCACCGGTTGCAGTTTGTTATGGCTCATCGGTTCAACAGAATCCACACACCCATGGCTGGCGTATTGTTTCTGCATCAGTCGTTATTGATTGCTTTTTACCAGCGCTGGTACATTAACTGGTTACCCGTGGATTGTCCTGGTTTTCTTTTATTCCTTAGTAACAGTGGCCAGCCTTTTTCAACTCGTATTTTAAAAAAAACAACACATGAACTATTAAAGGTTAGAATTCGCAACATTTCCCCTTGAAAAGACAAAATTTGCTTCATTTTGGAAACCCTCTCAACAGGCAGCTTTGTGCACTGTGAAAAATGGTCCACGGTATGAAAACTGGTGATGTCATAACGATTAAGAGGTACAGTGTACGTGTAGGCAAAGGGTATGCGGACCTTCAAATCGCAGTCAGAAACATTCCGCCTGTTGACAGCGGCAGTCAATCTGTCATCAAACTGCCTCGACCTTAGACGCTTCCCAAGACCATTCCATGTTGAAAAAAAAAAAAAAGGCACATTATATATACTCGGTTCATAACACCAGATTCCTACGCGCTCACCCCGAAGGGGGCTTAGCGCTCGGTACCATCTGGATGCTGGCAGACAGGAAATAAGGTTCAACCTCTCTTGGCAGATGTTCAGAAATTCCTTGAGTTAC